ACACAAAGGTTCAGCATCGAAATGAGGGGAGGGAGCAGGGTCAGTACTAACCCGGGCTTCTAAAGAGGACCCCTGATTTGGATCCTCCGAAGAGGGAAGGGGTCCTCCAGCAGGTTCCCCAGTAGCACTGTCCTGTGCCGATGGTTCAATAGGCACAAGCTCTACCCTCTTCAACAGTCTTGGACTCTTCCCCATGAGTCTCAGACCCATCCTCACCTCCTTAGATAATAACCCCTTCATTTGCTATAGATAACATGTTTTCTGTTCCTTCTTTCTCTTGTAAATCCATGGACAACTCAGGAGAAGGGGGAGTGTTACCTGTGGACTCAAGATTAGGAACTATCTTTGTTGAGTCAGCATCCTCAACATCAGTAGTTTGGTCGACATTTAAGCCTTTGTCCACAGGAACACTGGAGATTTCTAGATTTTCCTCTTCTTCAACTGTACCCTTTTCACCTAGCTTTTCCGGCGAGGCAGGAGGAGAGCCCGTAGCCATAAACCTTTTAGGGGTTGAGATTTTGCGACTCCTATGAGAAGCAGAACTCGATTGGGTAGGAGAGGAGACTGAGTGTGGGAGTGACTCTGCCCTAGGGTTTTGGCTAGTAGTAGTGTGGAGTGAGGAGTCTAATATCGGTGTTTCAACTGGTGAGGACTCAATGGGGGTGTTACTTGGAACACTCAATATTTCTTGATTTTCAGCCATGGTGGGTTGAAGAGGGGGGATTAGTAGTTTTGAAGAGAGAAAGAAGAAAGAGGGTTTTTGAAATTTGATGTGAGGAGTTGTGACAATGATGGATGTATTTATGATGGATGAGTGACCGGTTAGAAAGGGCGGTAATTTTGGGGAGTCGGGTCGATTACCAACGGGTGAGACGTTTGGTTCAAAAGACACAAAGAAAAGAAACCGACATACTGATGATGTGGCATTTGTTTTAACCGTTCAAAATTGTGCATGAGAGAACATAGAAACTACTAACATGTGTTAGGAGAACCAGGTTCCCTGACTAATCTTGCATCTATAAGCTTTGCCCTTTATACCAGCGTACACTGCATCAACTGCTTATTTGCTATGTAATCATCATGTGTGTCTACGTGTAACGGTATAGAGATGAGTTAGACTTTGCTAGAAAATACTTTTTAGCTAATTTTACCAGGACATTTCTTTCATAGCCAATCATCGAGGGACCAGGTTCTCAGTTAGGTTTTATCAGCCCCAGTGCCAGGCGATTTCTTTCATAGTGTTCTCTGCTTGAGGCCTTGGTGAATATATCAACAATCTGATCTTCTGTGCTACAGAATTTCATGCAAATGAGCCCCTTTTCAACATTGTCTCTGAGGAAGTGATGACGTACATCAATATGCTTGGTTATCTTATGTTGGACTGGATTTTTGGCCATATTGAGAGCACTTATATTGTCACACCTGAGGGGCACACAGTCAGAGAACATTCCAAAGTCTTCCAATTGCTACTTGATCCACATTAATTGAGCACAGCAAGAAGCAACTACTACATATTCCGCTTCTGCAGTTGAGAGTGCCACCGAGATTTGCTTCCTTGTATCCCATGAGATTAGACAAGAACCCAGGAAATGTGCCATTCTAGACGTGCTTTTCTTGTCCACCAGATATCCTGCATAATCAGCATCAGCATACCCAACAAGATCAAAGTTGTCACCTGAGGGATAGTAGAGAACCAGGTCCTGTGTTCCTTTGAGATATCTCAATATTCTCTTGGAAGCCTTCAGATGAGATTCCTTTGGATTAGATTGAAACCTTGCACAGAGACCCACATTGAACACAATGTCTAGTCTGCTTGCAGTGAGATACAGGAGTGACCCTATGATCCCTCTATACATGGTCTGATTTACAGGGGAACGAGGTTCTTCCATGTCTAGACGTGTAGCTGTGGCAATAGGAGTGTCGATAACTTTTGATGCTTCCATGTCAAACCTTTTCACTAGCTCTTTGATGTACTTCTGCTGGCTTATCAATGTTCCCTTTTGAGATTTCTTAACTTGAAGTCCTAGGAAGAAATTCAGTTCTCCCATCGTACTCATCTAAAAAAATCATACTCATCTCGAACTCACTCCCCATGAGTTTTGCAAATTCTTCACAAAGAGAGTCAGTTGTGGCTCAGAAAATGATATCATCAACATATACTTGAATAATGAGTAGGTTCCTCCCTCGTTTCTTCAGAAAAAGAATGTTGTCTATTTTTCCTCTTGTAAAGCCATTTTCTAGAAGGAACTTTGACAACCTTTCATACCAAGCCCGGGGAGCCTGCTTTAGCCCATATAGCGCCTTGTCCAGTTTGAACACATGCTTAGGATGCTCGTGATTCTCAAATCCAGGTGGTTGCTTGACATAAACTTCTTCTTTTAGGAAGCCATTTAGAAATGCACTTTTGACATCCATTTGGAACAATCTGAACTCCATATAGGATGCAGAGGCTATAAGGATTCTGATAGCTTCCATTCGAGCAACTGGAGCAAAGGTTTCATCATAGTCGATCCCTTTTTCTTGATTGTAGCCTTGAACTACTAGCCTTGCCTTGTTTCTTGTTGTGTTTCCAAACTCATCAAGCTTGTTCCTGAATACCCACCTGGTTCCTATAACGGTTCGATCTGCAGGCCGAGGAACCAGGTGACATACCTTGTTCCTCTCAAATTGATGAAGTTCGTCCTGCATGGCTGTGATATAGTCTGCATCTTTTAGTGCTTCCTTGATATTTTTGGGCTCTATTTGAGATAGAAAAGCTTAGAAGGCAAGTGATTTTCTGGTCTTTGATCTGGTTTGAATTCCTGAATCAAGAGGAGTGTTGATGTTATTAAGAGGGTGCGAACTTTTGCGTTTCCAGTTAGACACCTAAACCTCGTTGTGAGAGGGTCCATGTATTTTTGCCTGTGAGCCTTGATTGCTTCTTGTCTCAGCGTGTGGAGTTCCTTGAACAGCATCGACAACTCTGTTTTCAGCTTCAGTTGTTGTAATTGAGGGACCAGGTTCCTCTCCATCAGTTGGAGATATGGTTGCACCATCCTTATTTGATTCCTCAACGTGGCTCATCATATTAGCCTTTTTATTTGCCATGTCAATGATTTCACTTGGAACAGATAAATGTTCTCCATCTTGGTCAACATGTCCGTCCTTCTCACAGGAGAGGTGAGATTCATCGAAGATCACATGTATACTCTCTTCAACACATTGAGTCCTTTTTTGTATACCTTGTAAGCTCTGCTTTGAGATGAGTATCCCATAAAGATCCTTCATCACTTTTTGCATCAAATTTTCCAAGAGCTTCCTTTCCATTGTTGAGGACAAAGCATTTACACCCAAAATTCCTTAGATGTGTCAGATTGGGCTTCCTTCCATTCAGCAGTTCATATGGAGTTTTGTTCAGAAGGGACCTGATCATGCACCTATTCACCAAGTAGCAAGCAGTACTGACAGCTTCTGCCTAGAAATACTTTGCAATCCCACCGTCAATCAACATTGTCCTTTCCATGTCTTCAAGAGTTCTATTCTTCCTCTCCACAACACCATTTTGTTGAGGTGTTCTTGGAGCTGAAAAATTGTGAGTGATACCATTTTCAGTACAGAACTCATCAAATTTGGCATTGTCAAACTCAGTCCCATGATCACTTCTGATGCAAGCTACATTATTACCCATTTTCACTTGAATCTTTTTGACGAAGGCAACAAACACTTCAAAGGTTTCATCCTTGGTTCTGAGAAATAGAGTCCAGGTGAATTTGGAGTAGTCGTCAACTATAACGAAAAGATGTATTTCTTTCCTCCTCTGCTTGGTACCCTCATAAGTCCACATACATCCATGCGAAGAAGATCAAGTGGCCTTGAGGTACTGACTTCCTTTTTGGGCTTGAATGTGGATCTGACTTGCTTCCCTTTACACATGCATCACACACTTTGTGATCCTTGAAGCTTGACTTGGGCAGACCACGAACCAGGTCCTTCCTGACTAATTTATTCAGCAACGTAAAGCTTGCATGACCCGGCCTCATGTGCCATAATTCAGCATCATCATCAACAACACTTAGACAGCTGCGATCACCATTCTGCAGAGACTCAAAATCAGCAACATAGATGTTTTTGTATCTTTTTGCCACTAGCACCACCTCACCAGTCACTAGGTTTGTGACTGTACATATTTTTGACACAAATTCCACCTTGTTTCCCTTATCACAAATCTGGGAAACACTTAGCAAGTTGTACTTCAATGCGTTCACATAGTATACATTTTCGATTGAGTGAGAGAGAGATTTCCCAATCCTTCCAACTCCCAGAATGTATCCTTTCTTGCCATTTCCAAAGGATACACTCCCTTCTTGCAGGGCCTTAAGTGAAAAGTATTCATTTGTACTTCCAGTCATATGCTTTGAGCCGCTGCTATCCATGTACCATTGTAGGTTGCTCCCTTTCACTATTCCCTACACAAGAAAATCAGGAGTTAGACTTAGGAACCCAAACGAGTTTGGGTCCCTTGTAATGAGGAAAAGGGTGAATTAGGGCTCTTTTGGTCCAAGCAGGCAATATACATTTTTTATGTGAAGGACAAGGTCCCTTGCAGTAGTTACTTTTTCAGCAAAGACTTTGTTTTTCTGTTGAGATTGGAGTCTGGCCTTACAGGTTTCCTTAAAGTGCCCAGTATTGCCACAGTGAGTGCAAAGCCAATTGTTAGGTACAGTAACGTACTTGCTATGAGGGTTGTAGAGAGTTTTTTCCCTTTGGAACCCGATTCCCTGCCTGTTTCCCCCATTGTTGGTGTACATGGCAGTGATAGCATCAGAGGACCAGGTCCACTTAAGTGATTTTTCAAGATCACTCTTCACACTTCCTAGTTCTTCCTGAAGTTGTTTGTTTTTCTCAAGCTCAGCACACAGACTAGACTTCACTGAATTTAATTCACTTTCAAGCTTAAAGTGTGCCTCACTTGCAACTTCCTTTCCCTTTTGAGAATTTTCAGGCCTACTCTCCATTTTAATTTACCCAATTGTTTCCTTTAGGTCCACTACCACCACTAATAGGTCATCTCTCTCATGCTCAATGTTTGCAACTTTTTCATCTAAGGCATCCTTCTCTTTCTTCAGGTTCTTAATTGTTTCCTTTAAATCAACCACAACGACTACTAAATCATCTCTAGACTGTTCTGCTTCTCCCAATTCCACAGTTAAGGCATCTTTATCATTTAAAAGATTGCGATAAGCATCAATTAACACATTTGCCAAAGACATGAGTTTTTTAGGACAATAGGATCTCAGATTTCTCTGAACATCCAGAAAATTTACCTCATCATCGTCGGCATCTTCATCATCATCAGACTGAGCCATCAAGGCAAAGATTGAGTCATACTCAGTTGCTTCACTTTCTACTGCCATCATTGAACTATCACCATGATCATTTTCTTCTTCAGATTTGCTGGAGGAGTCTCCCCATGCAACAAGAGCTTGTTTCACAACGTTGTCAGTTGCATTCTTTCTCTTGAAGTGTTTATCAAGAACCGAGTTACTCTTGGCTGCTTTGTTAGAGTTGTTTTTGTACTGATCTTGCTTTAGAAAGGGAAATCCTTGATAAAGTGTCCTGGCTTATCACATTTATGACAGTGGTCATAATTTTTGGCTTGTTAGAACTACCTTTTTTTGGAAATGCCTCCATTCCTGCGAACCATTTTTTGGAATCTTTTTATCAAGTAAGTTATATCACCATCCTCACCACTTGAGTCATTGCTGTCTGTTTTGGGGACCAGGTTCTTCTCCCTTTTGGGCTCTCTTCTTTCATTGTCCTTCTTCTTTTTCATTTCATATGTATTCAAATTTCCAACAAGTTCATCTATGGTCAACGCTTGCAAGTCCTTTGCCTCTGTGATAGCGTTCACCTTACTTTCCCAGGAGCTGGGTAGGACACTGAGAATTTTCCTGACAAGATTGTTTCTTGGAATGATATCCCCAAGAGAGTGGAGCTCATTGATGATGGAGGTGAATCGGGTATGCATATCTTGAATGGATTCATCGTCCTTCATTGTGAATAGCTCATATTCAGTTGCAAGATCTACAATGTCAGGGGCAAATATGCGGCCCCACAGTAATTTCTGATTTCTCAACTTTTCTTTCTCAGAACTCAGAGACTCACCAACTTTTGCTTTCTTGATGGTACAAGGTTCCACATCATCATCCACTTTTCTTTTTATTGACTTGTAGATAGACTTTCCTTTCTCCATTGACTTTTTATGCATGTGTTCACCTGAATTTTCTACTTCTTCATCATCAGACTCTCCACCGCTCTCTTTCATTGTCTTGTCACCAGATTTCTTCACAAATTTTTCACTGGGAACAGCATCAGTACTCTTAGTTGGACTTTCAACACTTGTAGAAATATTTCTTTTGGATTGAGAGTGAGAGTGCTTCTACCTCGAGGACTTGTGAGTCAAGGAACTAGGTTCCTCTTCTGCTTGCTCATCCACATTTACCACAGGGACGACCTTTTCATGCACAGCTTTTCCATCCTTTACCAGCATTTTCTTTCTTTTACTCTTTTGACTTTTCTTGAGAGCAGACTCTAGATCCTCCTTTTTCTACAACCGTGTAGTGGGTCGCTTAGAGGTTGGCTCTGGACCTGCAACTGGCTTACTCCTCGCCCTAATAAAACTAGCAATCACCATATCATCTAGGTCTTCTTCACTGTCAGACTTCATCTCAGGCACCACCATATGCAGAGGCTCAACATAGAAGTGGGGAGAAGGAGTAGGATTAACACTGACTTGGGGAGATGACCCCTGACTTGGATCCTCCGCGAAGAGGTCCATCATTTGGGACCCCAATAGCATCATCTTGTCCCGGTTGTTCAAATGGAACAAGTGCTCCCCTTTCTTCTGTGGGCTGAGGCTCTTCCCCCGAGACTCAGACCCCCCTAAACCTTCCTCTACAATAACCCTTTCAGAAGAGATGGAGAGCATATTTCTATTGCCTCATTTTGTTGTGGTTCCGCAGAAATTTCAACAGAGGGAGGAGTGATACTTGTTGAATCGCAACCTGTCATGGTTGTCTTAGCCTTTTCATGACTAATCGCTGGATTTTCACTAGAGGGCTCTTCCATGAAGAGAGTCGACATTTCCTGATTTTCTTCTTGAACCAAATCACCCTGTTTGATCGGTGAGACTAGAGGAGGACAGGCATTATCAGACTTGCTCGGAGTCAACTTCTCATGACTTTGATGAGGAACAGAATCTGAGTGGGTAGAAGAAGGAGTGGAGTGTGGAGGAGACTCTACTTTAGGGTTTGGACTGGTGGTTGTGTTGGGAGATGAGTCTACTGCTGAAGTTCTAACTGGTGTGGACTCAATGGGGGTACTGTCGGGTACACTGGGAGTTACTTGATTTTAGACACGGTGAAGCTTTACTGGAAGGGTTTGTGGATTGAGAAGAGAGAAGACAAAGAGAAAATTTTGAATTTGGAAGTGAAGGGTTGTGATATTGATGGATGTATTTATGAAAGGTGAGGGACCGGTTCTGAAACGGCGGCAATTTTGCTTGGGGAGTTGGATCGTTCAGTGGCAGGTGAGACGCTTTAGATGAAAAGACACAACGTAAAGAGACTGACACGATGATGATGTGGCATTGTTTTTGTCCATTGTAAATTGTGTATGAGAGAACAAAGAAGCTACTAACCTGTGTCGGGAGAACCAGGTTCCCTGACAGGTCTTTGAAGTGAGCTTAACCCCTTTTTACCAGTATGTACTGCATCAGCTGCTTTGTAATCATCATGCGTGTCTCCCTATAACGGTATAGAAATGAGTTAGACTTGGCCAGAAAACACTTTAGCCAATTTTACCTGTATATGATTTTCATAGCCAATCATTGGGAACCAGGTCCTCAGTTGGGTTTTATCAATCCCAGTGTCAGGCGATTTCTCTCAAAATGTTCTCTGCTCAGGGCTTTAGTGAAGATGTCTGCAATTTTATCTCCAGTGCTGCAACATTTCATACAGATGAGCCCTTTTTTTAACATTGTCCCTGAGGAAGTGATGGCGTACATCAATGTGCTTGGTCCTCTTGTGTTGGACTGGATTGAGTGCACTTGTATTGTCACACGAGAGAGGTACACAATCAGTGTACACCCCAAAGTCTTCTAATTGTTGCTTGATCCACAGCAATTGAGCACAACAAGAAGCGACTGCTACATATTCTGCTTCAACTGTTGAGAGTGCCACTGATTTTTTGCTTCCTTATACCCCATGAGATAAGACAGGAACCCAAAAAATGTGCCATTCCAGACGTGCTTTTCCTATCCACCAGATAACCTGCATAATCAGTATCAGCATACCCAATGAGATCAAAATTTTCACCTGAAGGATAGTAGAGAACCATGTCTTGTGTTCCTTTAACACATACTCATATGGAATGTCTAGTTTGCTTGAACACATACTCATGATGCTTGTGACGCTCAAATCCAAGAGGCTGCTTGACATAAACTTCTTCTTTGAGGAGGCCATTCAGGAATGCACTTTTTACATCCATTTGGAACAGCGTGAATTCCATGATGCAAAGGCAATAAGAATTCTGATAGCCTCCATTCGAGCAACTCATAAGGTGTTTTGCTTAGAAGGGACCTAATCGTGCACCTATTCACCAAATAGCAAGCAGTATTGGCAGCTTCTGCCCAGAAATTCTTTGCAATCCCACTATCAATTAACATTGTCCGCACCATATCTTCAAGAGTCCTTTTTTCTTACCACAACTCCTTTTTCTGTGGTGTTCTTGGAGTTGAGAAGTTGTGAGTAATGCCATTTTCAATACAGAATTCATCGAATCTGACATTATCAAACTCTGTCCCATGATCTGATCTGATGCAAGCCACATTTGTTCCAATCTTCACTTGGATCTTCTTGACAAAGGCCACGAATACTTGAAAAGTCTCATCCTTGGTTCTAAGGCATAGAGTCCAAGTGAACATGGAGTAGTCATCCACTATCACAAAGATATATCCTTTTCTTTCTCTGCTTGGCACCCTTATTGGTCCACATAAATCTATATAAAGAGGATCAAGTGGCCTTGAGGTGCTAACTTCCCTTTTCTTTGTGGGCTTGAATGAAGATCTGACATGCTTTCTTTTTGCACAAGGATCGCACCCTTCGTGTTCCTTGAAGCTCGACTTGGGCAGACCACAAACCAGGTCCTTTTGGACCAGTTTATTCAGTAATGAAAAGCTTGTATGCCCCACCCTTCCGTGCTATAGTTCAGCATCATCATCAACAGCTCTCAAACAGCTTAGATCACCACTTTGCAGGGACTCAAAATCAGCAACATAAATATTGTTGTGTCTTTTGGCCACAAACACCACCTCACCAGTCACAGGATTTGTGACTGTGCATATCTTGGACAAGAATTTCACTTTATTATCCTTGTCATATCTGAGAAACACTCAAGAGACTGTACTTCAGGCCATTGACATAGTACACGTTCTCATTTGAGTGAGTGAATGACTTTCCAATCCTTCCAACTCCTAGACTGTATCCGTTTTTGTCATTTCCAAAGGATAAACTCCCTCCTTTCGGTGAAAAGAAATCAATTGTATTTCCAGTCATGTGCTTGAGCAACCACTGCTCATGTACCATTGTTGGCTGCTCCCCTTCACTGCTCCCTACACAAGGAAATCAAGGGTTAGGTTTAGGATCTCAAACAAGTTTGGGTCCCTTGTAATGAGGGAAGGGATGAATGAGTGCTCTTTTAGTCCAAGCAGACAATATTCGTTTTCTATGTGAAGGACCAGGTCCTCTAGCAGTAGTTACTTTCTCAGCAAAGACTTTATTTTTCTGATGAGACTGAACCCTGGCCTTGCAATTTTCCTTGAGGTGCCCATTGTTACCACAGTGGGTACACAACCAATTGTCGGGAACAGTAACATACTCGCTACGAGGGTTGTAGGGAGTCTTCTCCCTTTGAAACCCAATTCCCTACCTGTTCCCCCCATTGTTAACATACATGGCAGTAATAGCATCAGAGGACCAAGTCCACTTAAGAGATTTTTCAAGATCACTCTTCACTTTTCCTAGTTCTTCTTGAAGCTGTTTGTTTTTCCCAAGCTCAGCACACAGATTGGTCTTCACTAAATTTAACTCATTTTCAAGCTTAATGTGTTCCTCACTTGCAACATCCTTTTCCTTTTCAGAGTTTCCAGGCCTACTTTCCATTTTAAGTTCCTCAATTGTCTCCTTCAAGTCTACTACCACCACTACTAGGTCATCTCTCTCTTGCTCAATATTAGCAACTCTCTCGGTTAAGGATTCTTTTTCTTTACTTACACACTCAATGGTTTCTTTTAAGTCAACCACAACCAACATTAGATCATCTTTTTCATGTTCTATACTGGCAATTTTCTCATCTAAGGCATCCTTTTCATTTTTCAGGTTCTTTATTATTTCTTTCAAATCAACTACAACGACTACTAGGTCATCTCTGGTTTGTTCAGCTTCCCCTAATTCCATAGTTAATGCATCTTTATCATTTATAATACTATGGTAGGCATCAATTAATACATTTGCTAATGACATGAGATTTTTAGGAGAATAAGATTTCAGATTTCTCTGAACATCCAGAAAATTTACCTTATCATCGTCGTCATCTACATCGTCATCATATTGAGCCATCAAAGCAATATTGAGTCATACTCAGTTGCTTCACTTTCCACTGCCATCATTGAACTATCACCATGATTATTTTTTTCTTCAGACTCATTGGAGGAGTCTCCCCATGCGGCAAGAGCTTGCTTCACAACATTGGTAGCGATTCTTTCTCTTGAAGCATTTATCACGAACCGGGTTCCTTTTAGCTGCTTTGTCAAAGTTGTTATTGAATTGATCTTGCTTTAGGAGAGGACAGTCCTTGATGAAGTGTCCTGGCTTGCCACATTTATGACAAAGGTCATATTTTTTTGGCTTGCTAGAACTGGCCCTTTTTGGAATACCTCCATTCCTGCGAACCATTTTCTGAAATCTTCTTGTCAGGTATGCCAAATCACCGTTTTCACCACTTGAGTCATTGCTATCTGTCTTAAGACCAGGTTCTTTCTCTTTTGGGCTCTCTTTTTTCACTGTCCTTCTTCTTCTTCTTCTTCTTCATTTCAGAAGTCTTCAAGTTTCCAACAAGCTCATCTATGGTCAGTGTCTGCAAGTCCTTTGCCTCAGTTTACTTTGCTTTCCAAAGAGCTGGGCAGTACACTAAGGATTTTTCTGACGAGCTTGTTTCTAGGAATAATTTCACCAAGAGAGTGAATCTCATTGATGATAGAGGTGAATCGAGTGTGCATATCTTGGATGGATCCATCATCCTTCACTTTGAAGAGCTCATATTCAGTGGTGAGCATGTCGATTTTTGACTGCTTTACCTGTGTTGTTCCCTCGTGAGCTGTCTGCAAAGCTTCCCAGATTTCTTTTCCTGATTGACATGTTGATATCCTATTGTATTTATCAGGACCTATCCCACACACAAGAATTTTCTTTGCACGAAAATTCTTCTCTATGG